TCATTGCCAAAAAGAACATTTCAAGGTCCATTTGGAAGTAAAATGCTATCAATTATGGGCTGGTACCCATACCCCTACAAGGAAGACCAAGTGATTTGACTATCATTCAAATTATGCACCAACTACTAAGCCAAAGACGAAGACATTTAAAATTTCTACCAACTTATGTGATCTGAAATTGATCAGACATGCAATCAAAATGCAATGAAAGTACTGGTCATTGGAGTGGGAAATTTGGAAATGAAGAAGTATCCAAATCAAACTCTGTGCCATCAAGTTGATTCCTTTCATAGCAATCCCATAGGTTAGAACAGCCCCTGGGGGCCGGGGGAGGGCGGGTTCTAAGGTTGTAAAACTTCAGGAAAGGTGAAAGTCTCATCTTTATTCAGCAGTGTGACTTGTGTTTTTGAACTGACTACCTTGAGGTTCGCAGCCTTGGTGATGGCATTGACCTCTACATAGACAAAGAGGCAGTTGATAAAATGAGAACAAGGGAATATTGAGGGGCTTAAACTCAGGAACTGTTTTGTCAGATGTACGTCCATTCATCACACTTATTCAACCTGTATGCTGAGCAAGTAACTCAAGAGGGTGCATTGTGTGAGGAAGAATACTAAATATGGCCTGGAGGAAGGTTCATTAAAACCTGCAACATTCAGATGACTGTGCTTGTTGAAAGCAAAGAGGACTTTGCACACTTACTGATGAAGATCAAAAACTACAACCTTCGGTATGGGTTAACTCAACATAAAGAAAACAAAAGTCCTCACAACATCTTGACCACCAGAGAAAAGACCAGAGTTGCCAAAGATTTCATCTTATTTGGATCCACAATCGAGACCCATGGAAGCAGCAGTCACGAAATCATGCTTTAGAGCAAAGATGTCACGCTGTGGACTAAGGTGTGCCTGACCCAGATTGCTATGCTCAATCACCTCACAGACGTGTAAAAGCTCGACAATGAATAAGGAAGATGGAAGGCGAATTGGTGCATTCGCATTATGGTTTTGGTGAAGACTATTGACTGTACCATGGACTGCCAGAAGAATGAATAATCTGTCTCTGAAGAAGTACAACCAGAAAACTCCTTAGAAGTGAGATTGGTAAGATTTTGTCTCACATAAGAGAGGGTATACAATAAAAACTGGAATTGTGCTGAGCAGAGCGGAGCTTTCTTAGTATGCATTTTTCCTGCTAGGCGAGCATTGAACAACTCACTCTGAGTTAGTGCACCCAGTGGCGCAGCCTAGGAAGTTTCTCTCTGGTCACAGTAAATTTTTTCATAAAAGTAGTTTCACTCAAACATCATTTTTTGTGATGGCCGATTTAAGAGAACAGCATGCCATTGTGAAATTTTGTTTCCTGCTCGGGAAAAATGCTGCAGAAACTGTTGTGATGTTGAACACAGCTTACAAGGACAGCGCTATGGGAAAAACTCAAGTTGTACAAGTGGTTTTCTCATTTCAAAAAGGGTGAAATGTCGATTGATGACAAACCTTGTTCCAAACAGCTGTCAACTTCCCCAACGAACAAAAATGTCAGCTCAAGTGCATTTAGAGTTCATTCCACCAGGTCAGGCTGTTAATCAAGCTTTCTATTTAGAGATGCTGAAAAGATTGCGCAACGGTGTGAAACAAAAAAAGGCCTGATTTGTGGCAGACCAGGGACTGGTTTTGCCACTATTACAATGCACCTGCTCATGTAGTCATCTCAGTGCACCAGTTTGGGGCAAAAAAAAAACAAAACAGCATGCCTCTCTTGTCCCATACACCTTACTCACCTAACCTTACTCTGTGCAACATCTCTTTGTTTCCTCAAATGCAGAGGGACATGAAAGGTGTGGCAGTTATATGATCATTTGTCAATTTGAGGATTAAGAATGTAGGGGTGGGGTCTAGCCTGTCAATCAGATCATAGCCAATTAGGCCTCTGTGTGGGCATGGTCTTCTCCTGAGAATTCTGGGAAATCTGGTATTCCTTCCTTGGAGGTGGGAGACTCGCTGCGCACACCCTGGAAGACATAGCAACTGACAAGACACATGGACCCACCCTGATGTAGCTCTGGGTGCTGGGGAAGCCATGCAGACATTACTGCCAGCACTGAGATGTTTCCAATGCCATTGGATACAGACTTTCTACCCACTGGCCTGTGATCTTCTACATTCGGCATCATTGCATGTGTTTCGTGAGTCTGAAGAGGACTTTATAGATTGGTATTGGACATATGGGCTAATATTGGACTTGTGGACTTGATCTGGACTGGGCTGGGATGTTTTCTCAATGTTCAATTGCTCTTGTATCTAAAACTTTTTCTTATACAAATATGTGTATCCATGGATTTGTTTCTCTAGTCTACCCAGACTAACACAAAAGGACTATGATTTGATGATATAGAATAAATGAAGAAAAAAAATGAGGGAGGTGCTGTCAGCCATCCAAACAGTTGAGTTTGAAAAATGTTTCCAAGAATGGAATCACAGATTGGCAAATGGATTAAGTATAACAGAAAATACTTTGAAGGTGATAAGGCTGACTTGTTTTAAAGAAATTAATTCAAAGCTCTGAAACAAAAAAATTCTGGTTTTGGGTGGCGGTCCCCCTAGTACATCTACCATGCTACCAGGAAGGACCAGTCTCTGAAGATGGGCATTTTGCTTGGTAAAGTCAGAGGCAGGGGTGGGGAGGAAGACCCGTTAGTGAGATGGGTGGACACCAAGACTACAACGATGGGCTGAGGAATAGCAATAACTATGAGCCTTATGTAGGACTGGCATTATTTTGTTCTGTTGCACGCAGGCTCGGAACCAACTCGACAAAACATAGCAACAATTACAGAGGACATTACAGCTAGAGAGAAAAGAATGAGTACGAGACCCTGTCTTAAGTCTTGCAGGATTACCTGGTGGTGTGAACAGTCAATGCTCTGAATGCTAACAGGAGTGGATGTGTTCACCCAAAGGCACCTCGGAAGAAAGGCCAGGTGAACTGCTTCTAAAAAAGCCAGCTATCGAAATCCCTAAGAGGCACAGTTGTACTCTCACACACAGGAGATTGCCATGAATGGGAATCAACTCTTATCCGAACGGGAACTAGGTCTTGGAAAAAGAAAGGAAAGAAGCCTGACGGATCATGAGTAGAGAAGTTCTGGAGGTCTGCCGGATGAGGCAAACCGAACCATACAGCATATAGACTTTATCATCAGCATGATGGGAAAATATGGGAGGTGTTTAATCCAGATCCTGCTGGATGCTTGGGATGCACAGCCGTAGATCGATCAGAGGAGGGTGAGGATGAAAACAAGAGGTCCCACTGAGAAGCCATTGAAGTGGCCCAGAAGGGGGCAATGGTGTTTTGGGTGGAGCTTCAGACTGGATGGTGAAATCAGGAAGGGAAAATTGGGTCAAGAAACCATGAAAATGGTGATTAAATTGGTAGATTCACAGTAGACTTCTGATGGGGAGCTGACAGATTTTGATGGGCTGGATAGGGAGGGGCAAGAATGGCATGGAGTGATCTTGAGAGAAACGGGGGTGTCCACTAGGAAACCAGATGGGTGGTGAGGTCATTGACTAAAAAGATGAGCAGGATTGGGGCAGGGAAGAAGAATAGAACCATGAGTTCTGTGCCGGCTGGACTTCCCAGACACGTCCGTTTAGCTGCAGGAGACGTAGCTGAGAACTCTGAGACTTCCAGGGTTACAGTCCTTCACATATTTCCCATCCTCATAAAGTTCTCTGACACCGAACTCCTCCAAAGCCATCTGCCTTTCCTTTGCCACGGGATGACACGACTTGTCCAAACTTCTCATTGGGCAAGCATGACTGGTCATCAACCACTGCGGGTCAAGTTTGCAGACTGCTTACCTTGCTCCTGTTCTAATGGGAGGTCTGAATTAGGAGCCAAGAGTGCTGCTCCTCTCTGACTACCCAAAGGGTAAACAAAACATTGACAAAGAAACACACTCGGTGCCATCTAGCCCATTCTGACTCATGGTAGCCCTACAGGACACGGTAGAGCTTCCACTGAGCCAATCTGAGGCTGCACATCTTTACAGGGGCAGAAAACCTCCTCATTCGCCCACCAAGCAAGTGATGAGTTCCAACCGCTAACCTGGTGGCCGCAGTGACTCCCTAGGACAGAGAAGAACGGCCTCTGTAAGTTTTGAGTCTGTTTCTCTTTAAGGGAGTAGAAAGCCTCAGCCGACTCCTGTAGAGAAGCTGGTAGGTTTCGAACTGCTGGCCTTGCAGTTAGCAGTTCAACCACACCTCACCTATTCTCTAAAAGTGGCCGTGCCCCCACATATGAAACATTCCTGGTGGGGCTGTGGGTTTGGCACTAGGCTGCTCACCAGAAAGAAGGTCGTCAGTTCAAACTCAGCTCTTCCATGGGAAAAAGGCTAGGGCAATCTGTTTTCTTTTCTTTTGTTTTATCATAATTTTTAACTTACTGAGACCGAGGGCTCCTGAAGGTTTTTAAGGGACTCTAGCATGTAGTAGGAGGCCTGGTGGAGCAATGTGTTACCCGTGGGCTGCTAACTGCAAGGTCAGCAGTTCGAATCCTGAGGCTGGCTGGCTGCTCCTTGGACGACGTGCAGGCTCAGACGCCCAGAGGACAGTTCCCCTCTCTCTACAGGGTCGCAATGTGGCTGAAGTACCCTCGCTGGCAGTGGGTTTGTTCTGGGGTGGGTCTTCAACAGAGGAGACCATGGGCGGAAACGTACAATCCAGATCCCAGTAGTGCTAATGTCACCGGCTTTGCAAGGCAAGGGTTTCCCCCTCTCATTCGGCACACCTGACTTGGCCCTTTGATGTTAAAAGCAACACCAGTGGTCACCTCTCCCGCACCCCAACCCCAACCCCATTCCTGAAGGACCCAAAAACACGGCGCCCAAGTCCCAGCCCTGTCAGCCTACTCGGGGTTCCCGTCGCACCCTCGGGTCCCCCACCTCCCCCGCCGAGGACCTAGGGAGCCATCGGGCACGGAGCCAAGTGTTCAAGTACCTGGCGGGTAATAGCGCAGCAGGAGGCTCTTCAGTTTCATGTTTTCCGTCGCAGACCCTCAGCCCAGGGGCTTCGTTGCCTTGGAAACCGCCAAACACCGGCGGGGCGCGGGCGCGCATGCGCGGGGCGCGGGCACTGTTGTGCAGCCGAGGTTGGGGGCGCTCCTAGTGCGGGCCGGTCCCGCTCAGGGTCAGTGGACTGGCAGGGCTCGCGCGGGGCACCCGAGGGCTCCAGGGCACGGAGAGTGGGGGGGACTACACCCCTCTAATGCCACCTCTACCCACATGTCTGGGACTGGCAGGGGAAGGACCCCCCGCGTCCTCGCTAAAGCTGGCCTCGCTGGGGCCGCCCTGCCTCAGTCACCACCTGAGCCCCGCTGTTCGCCCCTCCCCCACGGACTCGAACCGCCTGTCTTCCCACAATGGGGGTGGAAAGGGGACGGAAGACAACACAGCTCAAAGACCACCTCGTCCCTGCCCCTCCTAAGTTCCCATAAAGGAAAAATCATCTCAATGGCACCGACTACGTAGAGTCCCAACTCAAATTCACGGCCATGGGGTCGATGCTGACACATAGCCCCCACTGGACTTCCCTGGTGGGTTTCCGAGAACGTCGTTCTGTACAGAAGAAGACTGCTTCGTCTTACTCCCGCAGAGCCGCTGGTGATTTCGAACTGCTGACCTTGCGGTTAACAGCCCCACGGGGAACCAGGGGCTCCTTTACGGAGAGCCCCGGAGTGATGCGAATGGATAATGTCACTGAGCATAAGATTGTAGGTTCGAATCCTCCCCAGAGGTGACTGGAAAGAGAAACCTGACTTTCTGTTTCCAAACGCACAGCTTGGAAAACCCTCAGGGGCAGTGCCGCTTTGAGTCGTGGAGTGGGGATGCATGAGAATGGACTGACGGCCCCCAGCTGTACCCCAAACGCAGCAGTGAGAAGCCCGCACCAGCGTGGAGAGCTGAGGTAGTGACCCGGCCCCCTTCTCTCACAAGCAGCCACAGGTGTGTTTCCATAGAGGACCAGACATCATGTGGATGAAACTTGAATTCCCGCCATCCCTGGGTTTCAGGTGCTCAAGGGCAACTAACGAAAAGATTAACCTGATTCCTGGCCGGCCTCCATCCCGCCACAAGGGGCCCATGGTGCCTGGGCCTCCCTGGAACCTGAAGACTGCCAAGTTCATATTCCGTAAGTTGCTCTGAGGATCTGCTATTGCTAAGTGTGTGCCAAGAACAATGGAACTATTTGAGGCGATTCCTTCAGAGAAAAGTTCAGGCTGAAAATGTATTTGAGGCGTCTGTGCTTGCGGCGAGCCTATATGCTTATGGTGCTGGTGGTGGTGGTGGTGGTGGTGGTGGTGCTGGTGCTGGTGGTGCTGGTGGTACTGGTGGTGCTGGTGCTGGTAGTGGTGCTGGGTAGGTGCTGTTTCATGGGCTCTGGCGACGCATAGAGACCTTACGTACAACAGAACGAAGCCCTGCCCTGTCCTGCACCATACCTGTTGTTATGTTTGAGCCCCATTGTTGCAGCCACAATGTCACTTCATCTTGTTGAGTTCCCTCTGCTTTTACTCTGCTGCTCCCCCAAGCAGCATGTCTTTTTCCAGGGACTGGATTCTCCCGAAAACATGACCAAAGTTTAGAAGACACAGTCTTCCCATCCTAGCCGCTAAGGCGCGCCTGGCTGTTCTTTCAAGACGGAATTGTTGGTCCTTTGGGCAGCCCATGGGACTGTCAATATCCTCCTCCAGCACCACGGTCCGCATGCATCCATTCTTCTTCTGTCTCCCTTATTCCACGTCCAACTTCCACATGCGTGTGAGGCAATTGAAAATACCACGACTTGGGCCAGGCACACCGTGGTACCAGTAGATGTGACCAGATCACTCATTAACTGGTTTATCCTGGGTCTTGTTGGTGAAACTCTCACAGCGCTGGCGTCTGTGGTGATTAATGGGAGCAAACTCACGGACTTGGAGCCCAGGGAACTTGGATGGGGTCCATCGTCGCTTGGGGCTTCAATTTCTTATTTGGAAAACAAGCAGCCCCAGTACCATAGAGCATTGTTCTTGCTCCAAGCCTGTCTCCTTTGAAGACATTCCAGAAGGGTTGGGGATAGTGAGACAATTGTAAGCACCATTACCCTCAGGTTGTTTCATTGAAATTGGGGACCGGGTGAGAGCATATTTGTTTCCATTTAAATTAGTAATCTAAGTCAACAATTAGTCCAATCTTCCTTTGCATGCCATATGGCATCCTGTGTGCCAGGTCAGGCAGCAATGTACCTAACTAATTGTTCGTCTTCGATAAACATCAAAACCAGATCACACACCTTAAGACATAACTGCCTCCCCTGTTGATGCAGATGGCCTGTGCGGATTTTGAAGGGAACGGGGTAGTTAGGATGTTTTGTAGCTTTCCTGACCTCTAGCACTAAATAGGAGCCCTCATGATGAGTTAGTTACTTGTTGAACTCTAAGGTCGGTAGTTTGAAGCCACCGGCTGCTTTTTGCTCCCATAAATGTTTCCAGCCTCAGAAACCCTATATAAGGTCACTGTGAATGGGAAGGAAGAGCTCTAGTGGAATTGAGGGTGACGAGTCGGGCTGCTTGCCCCAAGGTCAGCAGTTTGAAACCACCAGCCACTGTGGAGGAGAAAGATGAGACTTTCTACAGCAAAAGTTCTACTCTGTCCAAGATGTGGGATTGGTTCAATGACGTTGGAGTCAGAATGGACCTGACTGCAGTGGATGTCCACTAGATGGCAGTACCACCCCATCCCCAGTAGTAGCAACCAACAGAAGAATGTGTCCCAAGTCCATGGCCAAGTGTCCGTGGGAGTCCTCAAATGAAGACCATTGTCCAAAGAGAGTCCTTTCACACTTAGTTGCATTTCTATCCAGACATTTTCCCCCAAGGGACTACAGCTTCTTTTAAAAATAAAAAACTGGACCTCATGAGGTTCTTTTGTTTGTTTAAAATTTTTCTTTTAACAATAGATTGTGAGACTGGCCTCACGTATTCAATATTCTCTTAGATCAGTGGCATACAAACAATAGCCAGCCAGGACACACATCCAGCCCACTGCCTGTTTTTGCAAATAAAGTTTTGCTGGAACATAACTACACTCCTTTGTTGAATCCATAGTCACACAAAAGGTCCCTGGTGGGAATAGTGGGTGAAGTGCCAAACTAAATGTGAGGTTGTCATTTCAATCCCACCCACCTGCCACTCCTCTGGAGAAAAACAAGACAGTCTGCTCCTGTACAGATTTACAGTCCTGGAAGCTCTCCCGAGCAGTTAGACTTTATCCAAGGAGAGTGTGATAGAGATTATGTCAACTAGACACTCCTGGGTAAAGGTAGGAGCGAAACTTAACAAATGAGAGAAAGAGAGAGACCTAGGACAGTTGAGTCCTCTGTAGTCCTTCGCCTTCGGCCGAAACTGGACCTTGCATCTGCTTCTTCCATCTCATGTTGCCTCACGCAGGGATCTCAGGAGTCGTCGGCAGACTATTGCTGATGGTGGATTGATTCCACCAACTTTGGGCCCTCTCTGCATCCACCAGCCCGTGCCCCCTGCTGTCTCTGCTTCATCATCCTGGCCTGATTTCTCCATCTCCAGTTATGTTGCTAGCTGATCTCGGGAGCTGTCGGCAGACTGCTTTGACTTGAACCAGATCACGGTTAACCTATTTCCACAACCATGTAAGCCATTTTTAGGTATAAATATACAACACATACAGCCATCGCTGGATTTGTTTCTAGGGGACAAGGGTTGGCAACATTTTGAGATGGAAGAGTCAATCCTGTGCCTCGCAACCATTTAACAAGTAGCTGAGAGCCGTAAATATATATTTACAAGCAAATGACATCACCATTATCTGAAAATGAAACTATGAGCATTTGATTGTCATTTTCGATTTTAGTTCAGAGCCACATGTACGAACCCAAAGAGCCACATAGGCCAACCTCTGCTCTAGGGAACCCAAGCTAACACACAGAGCCAGTATGTGTTGGAATCAGCTTGATGATAGGATTTTTTTTCACCTTCACAAGCCAGACATAGGTGGTGTGGAGGGAAGGAAGGGTGTCTACAATATAAACAGGAAGGCGTGGAGTGGGTGCACTGCCACCTTGCATAAAGCATTTGAAGATCCCATTTGTAGAAAGGAAGTAGTGGTTATGCGTGAGGTTGGGGGATGGGCTCTTCAAGCAGGCCACACGGAGGCAGCTTGAACTCAACATACAAAACTTTGTGCCCATTTGTCCAGGTCTGGCCCAGTCTGTCTACAAAGGTACTGAAAAATGTCCCAGTCTTGGCAGTCTTCTCGTGGAGGCTGTTTGACCAGCGGCCATCACTGGTGTAGGACACAAGGCAGGCTGACCTAGAGGTGTATTCGGGCGTCCGTTCCTGATTGCTACAAGACAGCCAGTCTCTCAGTAAAGTGATGTCCAATGCCTGGGAAAGCCATGTTTGCCCATGGTGGTGTAGTGGTTACACGTTGGGCTGTTATCTGCATGGTCAGCAGTTCGAATCCACCAGAAGCTCCATGGGAGATAGAATGGGCTTTCTTCTCCCATAACCGGTGACAGGCTCAGAACCCCACAGGGGGTTCGCGATGAGTCAGCATTGACTCTTTGGCAGCAAGTTAGCGTGAGGAGTCTACGATGTGTCTAATTGCATGGTGACAAGTGTGAAAGGGGGTATTACATTTTGTCTAGTCTGACCACATTGCAAGCTTTTTCATGAAGTCAGCACGAAGAGTCAGAAAATTGGAAGAGGTAAGAGGTGTCCGTTACCTTTGATTCTAGGACCTATGAGTTTGTGTTGTCAGTGTGTCTGAGTGTTTGCCCAAGAGAATAAACGTCAGAAGACAGAAGCCCAGGTCAGGCCCTCCCACTGATGGTTCTGTGTCCCTCAATTATTCATCAGCCATTGATAGCCTCTCATTTCATTCAGCACCACACCTGGCTGGGTCATCCAGGGGACCTTTCTTCCTGCCATTCCTTCCACTTGATAAGCCTCCCACTCCACCTGTTGTAAAACCTCACCGTGCTGGAATCCCCTTCTCCC